TATTTTTCTGATCAAGTCTAGTGTTTGACACTGTGTCCTTAAGACAGATTCGTCCTCTCCACGGTGCTTTCAGAATTTGGACGTCTATCTCCCAGGATGAAATGATCTACTACAAACAATAGCAGCACTACAAATTGTTTGCTTTACGAACACACTAAGTGGGAAATAAGGAAAGTGGTTTGGAGAAAATAAATAAAAATAATGGAGTTGGAAATCAAACGGAGGAGAGCACCAATTAAGTTTTATAATAAAAAATAAAAAGGTCGGGAAAGTTAAAGTAAGAAAAAATAAATAAAAAAAGAAAAGGTGAGATTCAAATATCTATACAAGAAAAGGTGAGATTCAGAATATATATATATATATATATATTTTTATTGGTATTTATTTTTATTTATTTATTTATTTTGTGTGTTTTGTTGTTTTATTTTATTTTATTTTATTTTTTGTTTGTTTTTGTTTGGGGAAGTGAATGTGTGAAACCGTGTGAATGGTTCACATGGGGCTGTCTCCCTTGTGTGATAAAATAATAAAAAGAAAGTTGGGTGGTGTGGTGTGGATGGATGTCTCTTAAAATGGGTGTGTGTATGGCCCTCTCCCTCCCTAACCCGAGAGAGAGAGAGTGAGGTGGCAGTGTGTGTGTTTGCAAGTTCCAACTTCTGCAATGCTCCCCCCGCAAACTCAAGGGGGATAGGAACTAACCAACTTGAGTTTGGAGAGAGTAACAAAACAAGAAAATAGTCTAATACATAAAATAAAAGAGGATAGGAGACACTGTATGGTCGTGTCAGACCGTTGGTGAAGATATTGGATGGTTGTGTCATAACGTTGTAGAGGACACTGGATGTAGAAGACAGTTTATGGGGTCATGTCGGGCCGTTGTAGCAGACAATGTTGTGACAGTTGTTGTGACAGTTTACGGAGTCTTGCTGGACCCTTGTAGAAACTAACCGGAATCAATGTCGGGACAGTTTACAGAGTCTTGTCGAGGCCATAAAGGGTGAGCTAAACGGAATCATGTCGGGACAGTTTACAGAGTCTTGTCGGACCCAGAAGGAGCTAACCGGAATCAATGTCGGACAGTTTACAGAGTCTGTCCGGACCCATAAGAGCAACCGGTCAATGTCGCGGACAGTTTACAGAGTCTTGTGACCCCTAAAAAAGTCGCACCCTCAAAAGGTGTGCCCAATCTTTCAAAAGGCGTGCCATCACATAGGCTGCCCAATCCTAAAGACGTGCATAAAGGGCGAGCCAAGTCATAAAAAGATGTGCCGAACATGTATGGCGAAGCGCGTCACACATTGGTTGCGTGCGCTCGTTTTTGTCGTCTCGTGGCGTCAAGTGCGCGCGATGCGCGGTGTCTGTCTTCGTCGTAGGTGTCTTTATAAACTGAGGCGGAGTGCTGTGCTTGAAGCATAACAAACTAGTTGAAACCTCTTCGTTGAGAGAGAAACTCTTACTGTAACACTCTGTTGTCCAGAAAATGGCCTCGTCGTCCCGTAGTCTACTCACTCTCTTTCCCCGACCTCAACGAGTCCACAAGAGAAATAACTGGTGCGATGGCCCTGAACCTCAACAAGTGCCGCTGGGGTTTGCTCCGTTGAACGTTTCGATGCGGTCTGTGAGCAAAAATGGCGGTGCAAACTGATATTGAGGCCAATCAGTATACTTTGAAGTCATGTGTGGAACCATACTGCGGTCACAAACTTGTCGCAACCGGCTGCAGAGGCAAAGAGTGCAGCATTTAAACGCCCAACTGCTGCTCTGCTCCAAACGCATGTATAGGGATGCGCAGCAGAGATAAGTGTGCTGAAAGCAGAAAATAAGGAGCTGAAGCGGAAGGGCCACCGTTATGTTCCGATTTGGAGTCGCCATATCTGTAGTGGAGGAGCAGGGGGAGGCAACTTGCTTGGTGGCCTAGGAAGCACGGAGCCGACTGGCACGGGACACCAAGATAAAAGTAAGAAGAAGAGACCCGTAGCAGAGTAGAGAAGAAAAATCCCACTGTGGGTGTGGTTGTTGTGTGTGGGTTTTTTTTTTTTTTTTTTTGGTTGTAGAATTGTGCTCGGGGTTGATTCCCCGAGATGAATAAAATGACAAGGTTGTGGAATGTTGTTTGGTGTTATGTTGTTGTGGTTTTGTATAATAATAAAAATAAAATAAAATAAACAATGGATAAATAAAAATATTTGGTATGGGTGATATGAAAACATCGGTGTGATATTTTTTTTTTTTTTTTTAATAATAATAATAATAATATATTAATGGTGAAAGCATGTGCGCTGGTGGGTTGGAAAGTGTTTGGTGGTGTAAAATGGATGAAAAGAAAAAAATAAAGAAATAAAAGAAGAAAAGGAAAATGGGTTTGAAAAACTAGAGAGAGAGTTTCGGAGATGAGTAAAGGTGGTTCTGGTGTATGATAATATATTATAATGGTGTGAAAGATTGTGCTACAGCTGGGTTAGCTGGGTTTGCATAAAAGTGTGAAAAACTGTGCTAGAGGTGGATTTTGGACTTTTGAGGAGAATATAGAAGAGGACAAAACAGTTGGTGTTCCACCTTTTCCAGAAGCCACATCTTGCCCAGCCACTTTAGTAGAGGGATCTGACTTCAATACTGCAGCAAATGGCTCGGACTTATCAATTTTCTTCTCGCCAGCCATAATCAATCTTCAAAACCCAACTCCGTCGAACACCGCCGATTTTCACGGCGAGGACTGTGACATTCCGGTGGACGCGTTCGCATGCGATCACTCCCGTATGTTCGAGTTCAAGGTGAGGAAGTGTGCTCGAGGTAGGTCCCACGACTGGACGGAGTGTTCGTACGCACATCCCGGTGAGAAGGCTCGCCGCAGAGACCCCCGGAAGTTTCACTACTCCGGCACCGCCTGCACCGAGTTTCGCAAAGGTCAGTGTGTCAAGGGCGACTCGTGCGAGTTCGCTCACGGCGTATTTGAGTGTTGGCTCCACCCTGCTCACTATCGTACACAGCCTTGTAAGGACGGTACGCAGTGTCGAAGCCAAGCCTGTCTCGCCACCCATGTCGCCGAACTCGGTGAGTGAACTCGCTGCTTCTACGAGGAGTTTGCAGATTGGGAAGGTGAATATAAACATGAGTCAGCCTGCTTTTGGTTTTCAAATTCTGGGTTTTGCTCGCCCCGAGGTGGTGAAGAAGAATATTGGAAAATATTTTTGAGATTACTTTGAATTGCTAAATTTACCATTTCGGAACAAAAGTTTACCATGTTTCGGAATGTACGTTCCAAAATGTAAATTACTAATGTATTGTGATTTTTTGCTAACGTTGAGCTAGATGGACCTGGGTCCATTAAAAGTGTTCACAAAGGCAATTATCAAACTATAAAAACAAATATAGATCTTCAGCGTAGGAAACGGACAATCTATACTTCTGGACATTGGGACCTGATCAAGAAGATGGAGAGGAAGATCAAAAGGCTAAAAACAAGAAATGCCAAAAAGCAAATCTAGACTAGTTCCTTTGTAAGACAATCATAATGTTCTGTCATATCCTGATTTACCTGTTGAAGGGGCTTGGTGACGGCTTTACCCCGGTAGCTGACATGAAGCTTTGCCTTAGCCAATAACCCCTTGGATACCCAAATCAAAATGCAAGTGAAAATATTAAACCATGCTCCGGTGACATCACTACTAGTATTACTACAACAATCTGGAGAATACAGACAGCCACCGAGTTGGTTATTACCTCAGTGTCAAATTCTCCCGATTCAACAGCAACATTTATGTCAGTGGTAATCTTTACAAGATCCACCAGTAATCCAGGGCGGTCTGCCGTTTCCACACACAGCAAGCTGCAAGGTAACATACTAACACTGATGAACTGGAAGGCAGTTTTAAAGACTTCAGCCTTGGTAGTTATTTTATTTGGTGGGGCACTAGTAAATTGGTGAACAGATCCCATCATATTGAGGGGAAAGGGAAATGGGGAGAAGTAAACATGCATTACCTTCGATCGGGGCCATCATTATAAATATTGATGTGGGTTGCTACGTCCACATCCACCTGAGAAATTCCACCACAAAAATAAACAAAAAGAAAAAGGAAAGAAAAAAGAAAATATGTAATACTACAAAAAAAAAAAATGGTTGCGGGGCCACACATGTTGAAATGATTAAATATTTGCATCATGATAATATTGTAAGAAATACTGCAGCTGAATAAAAACCATGAGAACTTTATCCATAAGGCTAGCCTCTTGAACTCATTTGGGTTCATTGGTGTAACTCATACATCCGATGACACAACACATGGCAACAAAGGTTAGAATTGGGGTTGGAGTTGTAACTATCTGCCCCCAAATCACCACATCCCTATGAGCGGCCTACTCAATCACAATCACCACAATCAATTCATGGTCAGTCCTGCTGAACAATAATCCCACGCTGCCGCTCCTTGGACCCACACAACATGTGTCAAGAGAGCTTTAATACCATATGTAACAATTACGGAATCTACCCAAAAGGGCTAGCCAAAAAGATATCATTTGGGTTTGTTTAATACTCCTCTTTATATATCCAAGACTCTCGATGTAGACTTTTTACATGGGACTCATGATGGAAAATGGCAGCAGCCAATTAAAGTCTATAAAAGGCGTGGATCCAACGGTTCTAAGGCCCAAGCCTTAATTTGGCATATGCTAGATGATGTGGGGCCTACTTGGGAGATTAACTAGATTTGGGATTTATTTAAAAGTGTCTTTTGAGTTTCTCAAGTCAAATGTCTTTAAATTTCTAGTCAAGGTCTTTGGGTTATTTAGTTGGTCAAAGAGTCTTCTAGAGTCTTTCACATGATTAATGCATTAAAGAGTCCTAGGGAGTCTAAGTTAGTCATGTCATTTAATTTGGAAAGTTTTAGAATCAAGATGAAGTGAGTATAAATTATATTGTAAGTCTTGTGGCAATTTATGAATGGAATGAATGAAAATTAAGCTTATGCTTCTATGATTGTGCTGATGCAATCTTTCTTTAGTGTGATGCTAAAGAGCCCATTGGTGTGATGCCTTGGGTTTTCTAGGTGTGATATCTAGATCTATCATTCTTTAACCCTTCCTCTACTTCCTACAAATCACTGTTCACGTCTACTGTTCATATTTACTGTTCACAACCCCCAAAACAGCCCTGTTATTTGTGTTTTTGCTCATACTCAGGCCTATTTCGAATCTGTCCTGCATCAACTCAGCACACACCAACTGGATCGGGGTCCTCACACGTCGTTGATAAAGCCAGTGCATTCACATATGCTAACGAATATGACACAGTGTTAACTGTTAAGTCCCCACTAGGCATACGTTGAGGGAAAAACTTTAAGACACAAAGCATCAAGTTCCATTGAATGATCCCACCATAAAACTTCCAAATTTCATAGTGGATTATTTTTATGAATAGGATGCATATCATGAATTACAGGGAAGAGTTGATAAAGGATTATTGGAGAACTGTCTCTTTTTTTTTCCATTTTAATGTTAATAAAGTAAAGGACGCTCATGAAAAAAATTTCTTCTCCTTCTCGCAGAATAGGGAATGTTGGGATAAATGTTGAACCACTAAACATGCTGTTTTAAATTGAATGTTATCCCACCACTCCCCGCCTCAATGCATCCATTCCATTCCTTTTGACGGTAAACATAAAACAAGTATTTCACAAAAAATAAATCTTATTTGACTAAATAGTATTGTTCACTGTCCACCGCAATAAATGTTGTACACTACAAACCAACTTTTTTTTAATCAGCAACGATATAAACTGTATTCAGAAAGCTCCAAGGGGCACAAACCAATATACAATCAAAAAAAAAAAGAATAAATTACAAATACACTCCCTGAGGTTTGCTTAAAATACAAATCACCCCTTGTGGTTCTAAAAATTACATTTCACCCCTGAGGTTTTTAATTTCATAACAAATAGCCCATTTTATTAATAAATTATCAAGTCAATTAACAGTTTTTAATGATATCAAAAATATATTTCAATTAATAATTTAGGTAATTTTATTGTTATATGAGGGAGCAGTTAGAAATTTCATTTTTTTAGCCAATTCTATTAAATAAAAAAATTATGCCAAGGGGGTATTTGTAATTTTTCAAATCAGATGGGATAATCCGTATTTTAAGCAAATCTCGAAGGATGTATTTGTAATTTATCCAAAGAAAAAAATAAATAAAAAAATAAAAAATCAACAGTATTAGACATAATTTTATATTTTTCAGATGGGGCGAAAAGGAAGAACCTGATGATTTGGCGGAATAATTCCAAAGGCGGCTCCCATTGCTAATTGGGAGCTTGACTCCTGAAACACCAATGCAAAACAGTAAAGAAATTTATAGGCAGAGATAAATCCAGCAATATGTGCTCTAGCAGATAGCATTAAGCACAGAATTGTGTATTCAAGGAATACCGGATGATACTGAAGCAGATTGTTTATAATCGTCAAACGAATTGCCTCAAGCAACTCAGGATCCTCAACTTTTCTACCAGTGTCACTGCATAAGCCCCGCCACCAAAGCAATCAAAAATCACTATATAACATAATTCCAAGGACCAATCCAGATTTCTGGTAAAACACATTCCAACTATCTTGTACCACAAATTCCTACACAAGGTCATTTGGGATACAACTATCCTCTTATTCACTGAATTTTTTATTTTTTATTTTTTACAATAAACATTTCTCTGTTCCTTTGTGTTTCCATACTTGGATCAGAATTTAGAACATCAACAACTCAAATACTAATAATACCCACAACATAAGACTTACGCTTTAGTGATGGAAAATTTGGTGTGCTTTCCAGAAGAATCGAGATAAACATTTGCCTTGACAACATTCAGCCCAAGGTTCTTAAGTGCATTCATCTGCAACCCATTCATAGACAGCAAGAAACAATATGAAATGCATTCTAATAGATTAGAAAAAAAACAGGCAGACGTTAAATTCAAAATCTCAGTTTGATAAGCAAAAACAGCAAGAGCAAAAGTATAAACATGAATACTTGAACCACTAAATAAATGGTGCCCGTACAGTGTCAAGAAGGGCTCCGAGGCGATCGCCAAATGTTATCTCTACCACAGTCACATTAGGATCAGAATCTTGGTCTATTATAACTTTTGGTGTTGGAATTGAGTCAATCTCCTGATAACTTCCACCCTGTTTATCATACCATTCCCACAAACCAACGAACCAAAATAAATAGACAAGAGAATGAGAAAATAAATTAGTGTATTAGTACGCAATCAAAACCAATTACGTGGTTATCATTGGTTTGTACCTCCACAGCTGTGGCAGATGATGCTCTTCGAATGATTGTAGTTATGGAAGATGAGAATCTGACAAAAAAACATTTAGAGTTAATACATGAAAAACAATCTTCAACTTGGGGATTTTGGAGAATAAAGCTAACAGTATTTAAAACACTAAAAAATGGTCACAACCTTAGTTGGAGCAATTGCAAGTGGATCAACATTGCCCATGGATTAAAATTAATGTGGTAGAATATGCTAGTGTGTTCAATGCCAGTTAAGGGATCCTATTATTTGGTCTAATTCAAAAATTATTCAGTAGTCTGGAAGCAAAACTGTTGCATTGCATGTGCATGTGGTGCTCCCAAGGCTGCACAAAAGACGATGGATCGACTGACCGAGTCTCCCACCCAACTAACCAAGGTGGGTCAAGTTAGCTCTACCCATTCTCTAAATATTGCTCTTGTTATCAGCAATGCGGAATTGATCCAGATAGTAAAGACCCATTTCACCACATTGACTACATAAACTAGTACTATTTGTGATACATTAATGGGTATGTTTGGATCTTCAATTCAATAAGTGGGGATGAAAAAAATAAGAAAGAAAAATAGAAAAATTATAGTTGCTATTTTGTTTATCTTTTTCTTTTACAAATCAAATATTCACACACGGTTTAAAGGGAGCTTTTTCATTATTGTTATGAAGACTTGGCTATTTCTGAAGACATGAATTGATGATGGAAGGACACATAAATGGCCTGCTCATCCACACTTCACAAATGTTTTTTCAAATTTTAGTTCCTTTAAGGCAAGGGTTTTTTTTTTTTTAAATATTTTTTTAAAGACAATGGAAGTAGAGAATATAAGCCGCTACCTCTCTTAAATATGCCCACAAAGATTTTTATTTTTGGTAGTTTGGACTTGCAAATACAACTCACATATCGGTGATAAATATTTTATTAAAAAAATGACGGAAAAAAATTACTCACGAAAAGAAATCTTTCATTAAAAATGAAGGAGAAAAGTCATCACAAAAAAAAAAAAAAAAAAAAAAGAACAAAACCCAAATCTCAAATTGGGGCAAATTTGCTACAGAACAAGTTAACAGTGATATATACCTTCCACTAGTAGAAATGCACAAGCGTTGAACTGGATCGAACCCTAAAAAGGCTGTGAAGAGGGCTGTTCTGGAGGAGGGTTGCTTGTCAAGTGGTTTGAAGTTAGTGTAAAGCCCAATAGTAATACCCCCAGAAGTCATAGCCACAGCCATTTGCAAACCCACAAATGCAAATGGAAAAAACAGAGAAACAAGATTGTACTGCAATTGGTTTTGTTGTGTGATAGTATTGCTAGAAGATGAAGAAGTCGAACAACATTGGGAATTTGAAGAGGTAGGTAAGGGAATGGATATTGTGGGAGCTAGAACATTGAAGAAACATCTGGCTTGGAAGGTACTAGTACTGGTACAGCTGGTTTTTTTCTAGCAGGTTGCAAACATCGGCCTTGAATTTCGGCTCGTTACTTTATGGAATTTGAGCTACCAAACATTTTTCTGAAGCTTTAATTTGTTCAATATTGGATAATGAATTTTTTTTTTAACTAATATATGCCTCCATCTGGGAAGAAAAAGATTGGGCTTTTTCAGTTAAAATAGTAACAAAAAAATAAAATAAATTTTTAAGTCTAATAAGGTAAAATATCACATTCAATTCATAATCATTATATTTTTTCTTTCACAAAAAAACTAAAAGCCCTTTTCAAACGAAATTTTTTAACCCAGACTAAAATAGCTAAAAAATTCAAAAAGCCAAGAGGCTAACACACTTCCCAAACAAACCCATATTGAGTGAAATAATAATAAATTTTAAAATGTGATGTTATGACCTCCTTATTTTTTTATAAATTTAAATGTCTGAGGTGGTGTTTGGCAAGTGGGTTGGGGCTAAAATAGCCACAAAAAACAAAACAGGCTATTTTAGCCACAACAAATAAAACATCACATCCAACCCATAATCATTACACTCTTCTCTCACAAAAAAAAATCAAAAAGTCAAAAAGCCAAAAAGCCCTTCCCAAACCAAGCTTTTTAGCCCAGGCTAAAATAGCCAAAAAAGCCAAAAAGCCAAAAAGCCAACCCACTTTCCAAACGGAGGCTCATTAAAGTGAAAATTACACAAAAAGGTAGTCACTTACACATTTAAGTTTAATTTTGAAAGAATAAAAGTACGTTTCTTTAAATGTAAAATTATACATTTGGACAATTCACACTATAGAAGTTATGAATTTTTTGTTATTTTGAAACAAATCTCACATTACGAATAAGAAAATAACACTTCAATGTAACATACCAAAAAAATTTTTAGTGTATTTTTTCCAAACATAACAACATAATACTCCAAACATTTTTCAAACGTAACACTTCAATATAACACACACAAAAAAATTTCTGTACTTTTTCTAAACGTAACACTCTAATCAATGTAATCTCAAACATAACAATCTAATATAACTGTTGGCTACATATTTTGTGTAAGCCAATTACAATTCAACGCGTAGCAGAATAAAGGCAATACAGGAAGACTATTCAAGTTTTCAATCATGATCAAACACGTGACAGTCAGTATTGGTTTTACGAGATCTGCATAATATTGGATCAACAAAGAGATATAAAGTAATGTGGCTTCAACGGTTACTCACATTCAAATTCAAAATTATGAAGGAAGCCTAACTGCAAATGATGGCATAGTGGAGCTAACTATAAGGTAACATGATCAGCGATCATAGAGGAGCGATTCGACGGTTGGAAGTGCAGTTCGATGGTCATCTTTGAGGAGTATAAATAGCAGAAAAGGCCCCATAAAGGCCCTCAGATTCAGATCCAAAAAGCCAGTTTTATTCTATTTCATTTTCTTTCCAGTTTTTACATTTCCTGTTCTTTACATTTCTGTACTTTAATTTCGACATTGCATTTCGTTCATAGGAGTAGTTTCAAGTAGATTGTTACTGTAAACCTCTACGAGGCTGAATTGGATCATCGTAAGTTTTCATTTTAATGAAATGCTTCAATTGCTCCTCATTTGATTGTCATTTGCTTAATTCTCCTAAATCAAGCCACCAGTAAAAGTCCTCTTCATTGAGGCTGAAATAACTAAAACACAATCGTCTGATAATTGGTTGGCAATTAATTTTCTGTAAAGACTGATTGATCCTTGCTAGCACGCTCATAATTACAATAATCACCTTTGAAAGCCGAAAAGCCAACATATATTTTTGGCACGCCCAGTGGGACGTCAAGTGTAAGAAATGAAAAATGAATTGGATTCGTCCATTTCAAATAGCCTAGAAGAGATCCATTTTATTTGTGAAACAAATTTCCATCCATTACAATATTATTTGGTGGAAGAAAAAAGACATGATTTAATTGGAGAAATTCATGAACTTGATATGGAAATTTGCCAATGGAATGATGAGTTGTCAACTCTCACTACCAAGTCTTTAACTGAGGCTTTAATGGTCAGAATTGGTGAATTTTTTCAGAATTTTTCCATGGTTGAAAATAGCAAAAACAAAAAGTTGATTCCATCAATGGCTCGAGGGGTTCAAGAGTCCATTTTTAAAGAGCCAAATTATGAAATTAACATAACGAAAGAGCATGTTCTTGAGCCAAATTTGGTTAAGAATGATGATCCATGCATGGCTCAGGGGGTCTCAAAACCAATTTTTAGAGAGTCAAGTCATGAAAATAACATATCTATGGGTGATTTTCATAAGCCATTAATGGCTTACATAGAAAAACAACCCACTTTGCCAAATAATTATGAAAATCAATTCGGCAAAAGTCATGTCTTTAAAACAAACATTGTCAAGAATAATGAACAAGCCACTGTTCATGAATTCAAAATTTTTGACATTTTTCAAAGTGTCAAAAAGTATAAATTTTCATGGTCACATTATACCATGACTTTTGTTGTTCTAAATCCATTTTGGATTTGTGGATCACATCAAACGTTGACTTTGATAGAATGGCTAACAAATAATATTTCATTATTGCAATATATTGAGCGAAAAATATTGTTATTAGTTGATCCATAAAACCATCACCATTTGGTTTTGTGGTTACCTTCGAAGTATGTCTCAAGACACTTTAAAGCAGATTATTCATTGAAATATCATTTTATAGCCATTAATGGCTAGTTAAAATGCCAAACTAATTTCATAGTAATCCAACTTTTTGGATTTAGTTCGAAGAGATGTCGTAAGCACTTTTGAAGGACGACTTTGATCCTTTAGTAACATATGTGACTTTCGAAGGGTGGTTTTGTTATTAATAAACACCTTCGAAATGTAACATGGGACGAGAAAACTTTCGAAATGTGTACTTCCTTTCCAATATATGTAAAATGACAATTAATTAATTATCAAATAATGTCTATTTTTGGCATGATAATTAGTGGCTTTACTGATAACCATTTTTATAGTCATTTGTTACATGAAAAGGTAACTAGTATTCTAGAAAAGTTGGTTCAAAGAACAACAGTATTAGTGTCTTCGGAGAATTAATAATTGGTTTAAAGCATAAAATTAATATTTTCATTAATTATGTATGAACAAAAACATACAAAATTTGAATAACCTTTAATGTTGGCTAAATGTTGCTTCGAAAGCCCTTTTGCCATAATTTTGTAAGCTTTGAAGTACTCCATCTTGCATCAACAACAACTTCGAAGAAAAAATAGTGATGGTTGTGAACTTTCGAAGCTTTGCCGAATATTTCCAAGGATGTAATTCGTCCTTTATCGGCACTTTCGACTTTTGAATGATGATTTTGGTCCTCTATACCACCTTCGAAGCTGGTTATTTAGCATGTGTAACAGTTTGCTAAGGTGAATCATTGGCTTTGCCTTGAAAATATGTGGTTATCCTTCGAAGCTTTTCTACAATAATATCCCTTCAATGCGTATATATATAATTCGCAACATCTGGTCATAATTTCAAGCTCATTTGAAGCACTTTATTGGTGCTATTATATCATTCGAAGTACTTTGTTGATATTATTCGAAGTACTTTATTGCTTAGATTAGTCATGTGCTTGGTTCGACCCTTCGAAAATTCAAGTAAACATCATTTTTAAGGGCCGCGGGGGATAATGTTGGCACCATAAATCTACAATTTTTATTATTATTTATTATTTATATAATTGCAGGACATATGGCATCCTCCTATTCATTTGGAAGTTATGAGAAGTTATGAAATATGAAAAAATGATGGAGAATGAAGTGGAGAACATGAAGTATTAATTGGAGGTTAAAGGAAGTTATGAAGACATGGAGAAATATGTGGTATTGTGGGAATAAAGATGGAAAAGTGGATAGTTTTAGGTGGTTATTGGGTAGTTATTGCTGGAAGTTTTTTTCTACAAATATTTGTCTATAAATAGCCATTCATGGCTACATTGTAAAGGATTCAGAATTCAAATTAAAGACAATTGATTTCAATATTTCTTGTCATTTTTCTTATCTTAGGAGTAGTTTAACATAGATTTATATTTCGAAGCATTTTATGCACTTCCTTTTCGAAGCATAGGAGTAGAGGTAAGTAATTATTACTTTGATTGTTCACTCAATCGTCTTTCTCCGTTTCCCTTATTCTTCTTTTAATTTTTCTTTTTTCTACACTTGGCAATTTTGAAGTCCTCTTTGTTGAGGCAAAAGAACCATCAACGCAATCGCTTGATAATTGGCTTGAATTTAATCTGTAAAGATTTTTCAATCCTTGCTGGCACGCTCGCATTTATGATATTTTCATTCGTAGGAAAAATAAGCCATCATATATTTTCCATTTCAAAGTATTTTATGCACTTCCTTTCAAAGCATAGGAGTAGAGGTAAGTAATTATTACTTTGATTGTTCACTCAATCGTCTTTCTCCATCTCCCTCATTCTTCTTTTAATTTTTCTTTTCTCTATACTTTGGCAATTTTGAAGTCCTCTTTGTTAAGGCAAAAGAACCGTCAACGCAATCGCTTGATAATTGGTTTGAATTTAATCTGTAAGAATTTTTCAATCCTTGTTGGCACGCTCGCATTTATGATATTTTCCTTCGTAGGAAAAATAAGCCAACAATTTTTGGCACGCCCAGTGGGACTAATTGAAATGACTAGACGTAGGAGATAAGGAGAAAATGAACGCTTGGAAGAAGGCGTGGAAGGAGAGGTAGAAATACCTAATCCAGAGGATAATGTGATAACACATCCTGTGAAAACACCTATTTTATCAGAACCTCTGGTGGAACAGACCAGCATTTCGGAACAAGTACCGCATGTTCATAATATTGGACGAGGCTAAGGAATTGGACCATCCACTGTTTCATCTACTCAGCCAATGAATCCATGGGAACGCCTAGTAGACGCCATGGGACAACAGTTAATGAACACAATGAAGGATGGACAACATCTTTTTTGGATCGAATGAATACCCATCAACCAACAAACACAAGACACATGGAGGAAG